TCAAAAAACCTATGTATTGACGATTTTAAATTTTCGGCAACCCTCTAAATTTGGCTACCTAATTTAAAATGATTAAAGCCTAAATGGTCTTCTTTTTTATGTTACTTCTCTGCAATGAATGTATAATAGAAGTTTGTCAACATATTTTACAAAAGAGAAAACTTCATTTTTATATTAATACTATCAGGAAGATCCGTCGAAATAGCTCTAAATTACTAATGTTTAAAAATGAAATGGCAGAACTTTCGAGATAACCGAATGTACGGGGTGTCCCAAAAGTATGTATACACAGTTTGATCGTTGATATCTCGTTTTGCAAAAAGTGTTTTCCCTAGCTTTAGGTACCATTTTGTAAAGCAGGGTTTAACTTAGATTTAAAGTACGGAGCGAATCCACCAGTCATTATTTATTACTGTAGGATTACGGTAGGAACTTTCTGCTTACCGCGTCACAGTGGATTAATCGTGTTTCAAAAAGTTTCCAAGAAATCTAAAAAGCGGTGTATCAGGGTTTTCACGCGCTCTGATTTCATTACTCAACTTTCTAGAGGTCTGTAAAGGTTTTTGAAGGGTGTGATTGCAAATTGAAGCATAGTAAAAACAGCTGTTACGGTTTACGGGGCATAAGTCATGGAGGAAGCATCGCGGTAAATGTAGTTTATATTTGGTTTTAGCAACTTAATTAGCTAGTGTAAGGGTTTACAGATTGTTTGATTTGCTCTCTAAGGCAAAATAGGGCCCTCAATGGCTCAAAACCCCTCTTGAAGTTTCTACCGTAATCCTACAGTAGTGAATGACTACAAAATGGTACCTGAACGAAAAAACTACTAGGGAAGAGAGATATTAACGATCAAGCAGTGTGTATATACTTTTGGGACACCCTGTACTACACTTAATTCATAATTTTGACTTCGCTTGCAACTTTTTGGTCAATGATCTAGGCATTTATACTGGCCCCGAATTAAAATATTCGTATTATATAGATAAAATTACATCTCAGTAGACCCGAATACTTTATGCACTAATGCACACCGCTCAACCTTCTGATCCTAAATTACTTGTGAAAATGTACGAAACCTTTTTCTTCCAGCGGTTAAATACTGCAGCTAGGTGTGGAATCCAACCTTGAATAAATACATTGAAAAAATAAAATCCAGAAAACTTTCACAAAGATCTTTTTCTATCGTGCTTTCTCAAAATAAATTATCCTTTTGATTTTCCTGATTACAAGGTTGAAATAGTGAACTAGGTCTCAAATCGATGGCTTTTAAAATTCTTCGTGCTGAGATAGGTTCAAAACCTTGTAGATACGGGCTTTTCGACATGTCAATAAACCACGAGCCTCTTTAAACTTGACTATTTCCAGATTTGGCAGGTACAACGTTTCGCTACGGCAAACAACTTTTTTTTCGAACAGCCTCGATATTGAACAAGCTACCGTCTTCTTCTTAATTTTGAATTCAAGTGCTCAATTGAATCATGCATAGAAAAAGTGGATACTTCAACTACTGGGGTTGGAGGACGCTGTATGATCCTATCTTTCTACCATGTTGTGGAGATGGGAAGTTTTTTTACTCTTTTCTACTTTCTAATCGTATCACCTCCACCATTAGGAACTATTTTTTTCCATCATACATAGCCCCTATTTCATCTATATGAGCTAAATGTAATCAGTCTATGAATCATGCACTAATTCAGTCCAGCGCATAATGATTCCCAGTCACATTGTTTGAACTTTGATCCTACATGTAGTAATTGGTTGCTCAAACGCGGGGATTATGGGGAGAAAATCAATCTATGTATGTATCAGTGGGGTCTCAGGATTTCGGTCCGGGGGGAGGGGAGGGGCGGCAAAATTTTTTTTTTAATTTAAGGTGCGTGGCGTTAGCCACGACTCCGAAAACATCTTCGGGGTCATCTCAAGCTCCCCAAAAAAATTTTTTTGCGAGGCTAATTTGAATTTTTTGGAAAATTTTACAAAAATTTCGTAACACAAAAATAAACAAGTCATTTGCAAATTCCATAACCCATGTAGGTAAATTTCAATTTCGCGACCCATTCTCGGTGGGGGAATGGCCCTCCCCTTCCCCCCCCCCCCGCTCCCCTCGGTCCGCCACTGGTATGTATAATGCACAATGGAGTGATGGACGGAGCATTAGTTTGGTCAAAGGATGGATCGCTGCATCATTCATCACTCGAAAGTTGATTTTCTAAATCGACTTCTTCATAAATTTCCGTTGTTTTTGAGCAACATGATCTGTTAACTGTTAATTTAATATGAGATCAAAGCCCTTGACAATGTCTCGAACTCATTTGGAAACAATTACGATCTTTACTCTACAAACACCGTCTATTAAAGCATTCTAACTGATAACACAAATACTTTATCTTGAAAATTCCTGTATTTATTTTCAACTCGTCTGTAGTTTCTCCAGAACAGTGCCTGGGATACGATGCGAAAGTTAGAGCCACTTTGAACCAAATTGCAATTCTCTCCTAGTTGTTCCATTGAGTACACTTCTTTCGTTCATCATTATGACATATAAATACCAAAAAAAGTCCGTAAAAATTTTCATTTAGCACGCGCTATATCATTAAATAACATCGAGAGATCAATTTTCGGGTTCAAGCATTCTCGACAAGCACTTATATGCATGCTGCAGCCCGAAACTGTATTTTTGTTCGCTTGTGAGAGCGCTTGATCGAAATAAAGAAAAGGTCACGAGTCCGCAAGCTCACGCTCTTTCGTATGTTCAACATTCGAGGATAAATAAGCTGCCTGGTTCAAGCATTCTCGACAAACACTTCTATGCATGCTGCATAAAAACTCTCTTTTGAGCTGCTAGCACTCTCCTCGTTGGCACCTGATTGCACGAAACTTGTGATATTATTGAAGTCATTTCAGTTTTCTCATCCAAACGTGCTTCATTAAATTTTCGAGTTTAGGATCCTTTGTATAGAATAAAGAGATTGTAGAAAGTGAGCGAAAACCTCGACATTTCTTGCATGCAGAGCTGCTGTTAAAAACGAGAAAATTGTTTCCGGTGCACGTGAATTCGAGGTATCGAAGAGGCTTGGATCAAAAAGATTCAAAAGTTCTCAAGAAGTGAAAGAAAGACTTCACTTACGCGCAAAAGATAGCAAAGTTCTATTCTCAATAATAGTTTGCGAAAGGAGTATGTCAAGATGCGTTTTATATTGTCAATCGGACGCCAAATAACAGCATACAATATGTGTTTCACAATACTCTAGATGCATTTCAAAGTTGTATAACGATATAGCACGCAGCCGCGTGGGCTCATCGGTCTTATTAGTCCAAACCAAATCCACAACATGAGCGTTGATGGTCAAAAACCCTTGATATTGCAACCAATTGAATTCGTTAGCCTTACCCTGTTTTCTTCGATATCAAACACAGCAAGTGGCACTACAAACAGCTAGTAATCCAATCCACTTCGTTCGTATTTTTTAAGGCTCGCATAACACTGAACTGGGATTTTGAGATGATGACCTACATAGAAATCGTGCCTGTTGACCTTCTCCCGAAAAAAACCTGGGTAAGACACCACATGATAGAGCAAAGTAAGCTTTACAAAATGCAGTGAAGAGCCGTGGAAATTCCGTTCAAAAGTGCCAAAATATAAAATTTGATCAAGAATCCAGTTTTTTGTTCATAAAACTAGAGGATTTTTAAATTGCACAGTATGTGCTTTCCACAATAGGCACTCACGTGACCAGTCTGTAAAATTTTTTTAGGGCTAGAATACGACAAAACAAAAATAAGTGAAAAATGCGGATATTTCGCTTTCGGACTTTTACCAAGATTGTCATTTTCTAATAAATAGTACTTACAAGAAACTGAAAGTCATGATTATACTTTCCAAAGTTCATACTACAGTAGTACTCATTGGGAGAAGCTCATACTTTGGCAAGCATGCCGAGTTTCGTTTTCACGATTTTTAATCATGGAAATTCACGAAACTTGCATACGAGCGTCTGAGATGTTAGAGTGTGCCTGAGCACATGGAACCCTGGTTTTAAATCAGCCCTAATCATCTCCTGAGAATCAGAACCGCATGCATCAATTTCCTCGCTGAGAGCAAAACGCGGTCTTGAAAGTGCTTCATATTCTGAAGCCCTAAACTTCTAATTATTAGCTGTCTATCTATCTGCAAGTTTTTTACTACGCTCTACTGTGAGCATATTGAACAGCAGGTGCAAGCAGTGCATATGCCGCATTTTTCAGCTTTTCTTATGGTCTCCTGATTCCCGGCAACCCACCATCTTTTCTTTGAAGTCATTTTTATCTCTTCAGAGTTAATGGAACTGTTTCAAGTTATGCTGGTTTTCTAGCTCCAGTACCAAATATGTTTTGGAAAGAACTCAGTTTTCACAATAATGAGCTTATATAAAGCTGAAAGTCTGTTTGTCTGTCTACCTGTGCGTGTGTTCGTAATTTCCGAATGAAAAGTCCTATTTTTGACTGAACCGGACCACACTTAACACACATAGACTTCGGGGCGAGGCGGGTGTCCTAGGTCATTTCGTCATCGATCGACATCGACTTTATCATTTGCAAAGTTTGAGCTACGGGACTGGGGATTGGCACAGGGGTAAGTGCGCATGCTGATTACGAATATATTATTGACAGGACCGGGAAGAGAAGGGTTTGCCAGCCAGTGTTCGATAAACCTCAGCTTCCGACTTATGGTCGTAATTTCCATGACCCATACATCATTAGTTTTTTGCGGAAAACGGCGAAGGAATGTTAGGTTAATATGATCAGTGTGACTTTGGTTTACTTATAGATAGAAAAATGACTACGAAGATGAGATTGGCCGCCGATCATCTCAGGATTATACAAGAAGCTGGAAAACGGCATGTACAACTTCTCCGCTCCTGCTCGATGTGTTTAGACTAAAGGGAAATAGAAACATTTGTGAATGGATAAATAAGGAGAAATCCAGGTGTGTTGACTATTTTAAAAATCTGCAAACCATTCTAAGCGTCCCTGCGTTGTTGCAGTGCTGCGGTTATCGCATGGTTGAGTGTTTGAACCCGGCATGCTAAAACACAAGCAATAACTCTAGTATGAAGAGACTATTCATTATATGAGATTGAAGTCTTCCATTTAGATTTAGATCCTCACGAGAATTTGAGCTGCTCTGTCATCATCATTCCATCAATGCATAGCACACAGGATTTCACCACTTAGAATATAACAAAAATCTGAAGTCCTTAATCTGTTCATTCTTCAAGTGATTGCTCTTCCTTCTTTCTCATATCGTGCATTGCTTACATACGCGTCTGTTCGAAATTAAGTGTTTTTCGGCATTCGAAGGCACTGTTCAGGCTCTATCTAACTTCCTCTGCTTACAAGGAATTGGTCAGATATCGAAGTGGCTAATCGAGACAATCTGCATATCGTTAGATGCAGCTTGAAGTGCTGACTCTAAATTTGTCTTCTTTATCTGCTTATCGCATTCCTGGACGAAGCTATAAGCCATTAAAGGCCATTTTTTGGCTAAGAAATTGTGCGCGAAGGTGGAAATTTGGCCGCACAGAGCCACGTGCGGATCAATGCTGGGCCAAAACATGCAGCTTACTTACTTCAAATTCTTAATCTAAAGCTGAGCTGAAAGTGCAACAATATGCTCAATTTCGTAGTTTTTATGTACGATTTTTCCGCCATAAAACTGCTTGTAGCTTCGTCCACGGAAGCGAGAAGCAGATAAGGAAGACAGATTCGAAGTCAGCGTCTCATACTGCATCGGACGGTATACAGCTTGTTTGGTTTGGCCACTTCGACTTCTGACCATTCCCTTGTTAGTGCGGGTCCTGAATGTAGGCCCCAGGAGAGAGGTATCTGCGCTGGTCCGGTCCTTTAATGTTGTCTCTGAACGAAAATAATGGGCCTGGAACAGCCGAAGTGCTACCAAGCTCCCCCAGATCCTATCAAGCTCTGCCTACCCATGCGTTGAGAACTTTGCGCCCTCATGACAGAGTCAATCGGGCTGGGAATTGGGCTTTTTGGGGTTTTGACTCGCTACAACTGTATCAGGGCCACGAAAAGGCCTCAGACCGACGAAAATATGAGAGGCGAAATTTGAGTAAACGCTGCCTTTAAGTCGCAAATTTCGCCCTCCTCGTGCTTCCAACTCGTAGTGATTTCTTTCTTTTAGCCTATTTTTGCTTTTGCCGCAGCGTCACCTGTATTCAAGATGGCTCTTATTTTCAAGTAATGCTTTTCTTCGGAGATTACCTAGACCTTCACAAAAAGAGAGCGTTGGCGGAGCATTATTTATGGCTCTCCCTCACCAGGACTCATTGCTCCTTATTCGTATACGCGGAACTCCAATTCTAATACGTATTTCCTTATGTATGATTAAGCAAAAGTGGATTTATGCTTGGCTTGAATTTTTGCATTCTATCATCTCCTTTTTCCTAGCGCTGCTTGAAATGGCTTGATGTTTGAAATGATATCATTATATCAAAAGCTGGCTCCGGTCCGCTTGGACCGAAGCTCATTCGGCTCTGCTTAGTAACTATATATATAGACTTGAGCGAAAGACTCACCCTCCTTCGATTTCCTCCTTTCAATTGCTTTACCTTTCACATTCCCTCTTCTTTTTTCCTGCTCCTATTGCGGAGCGGTAGAAGGAAATTGGTCAAACTTTGAATTTTCTGTGTAGGGTCATAAAAAATCGGAAACTTGCAACAAAAATTGGCTGTCGGTTTCGTAGTTCTTTCACCAGCTTCTAACAATGCAAGGTTTGCGTTCTTTCACCAGCTCTTTCTAACAGTGCAAAGTTTGCGGCGCCGAGTGAGCGTCTTTATGAAAAGTGATTTTCCTGAAAAGTGCCAAAATAAATCAAATTCGTCCTTTTGTATTGCTTGCTCGAAAATCATAACTTTTCATAGAGCGCTCAATCAGCGCAAACTTTGCATAGTTAGAAAAATGAAAGAACCTATAATACTGACTGCTCCGATTTTTGTTGCAAGTCTCCGATTTTTATGAGCCTACACAGAAAATTCAAATTTTGACCAATTTTCTTCTATCGCTCCTATCTATACAACAGATTGACCATTAGTAAGCAGCTAAGACGTCATTATAAAGAGCATGACTTACTCTCTCATAAAAAATAAAAGCACTAAAATCGGTTGGAAAAATCAGAAAAATCAGAAAAATCAAATTCAAAAGAAGTTATGAATTTTTGAAAATCGTGCGCAAGAACTTTCCGGACGACCTAATATATTATATAATATATGGTCAGTTCAAAAGTTCGTTCCGTTTCTTCAACCTGTCATAAAAGCACTTGGAATAAAGGCAAGCGAATGATCTAAGCACTATCAGACGCAACTTTTCTTCCTCTTTCCAGCAATCATGTTATGCCATTTGCGTGGTTTCTGAGATAATTGCCGAAATTCCAAACCCATGGTTTTTACCATACCAATTTTTGCAATTTCTCAAAATCTTCATTTTGAACGTTTGGAAAAGCTTCAATAGATTTAGATAGCTGAACAAAGTGCAATGCTGGAATTTTTTGGCACTTATAGCTGACTTCCCAAAATTTTTAAAATCATGTTTTTGATGTTATCAAACTCCACTTTTGGTCATCCCAAAACTCGCAAACTGTTTAACGGAGCACAGTCAAGGTGTCATTCAATGCAGTTTTTTCTCCACTTTCTCATAGGGTTCTTTTCCTACCAATTCATGGAATATTTTGCGATAAAATTATCAAAATTCCTGATTTTGAGCCTGCTTCATGCTGACCGGTAGAGTGCGAGACTTGACATTTCGAAGCGACAAACAATCTGATGCTTTGTAAAGTTAGTGGGTTACCAAAATCGATCGCAAGCTGCAAACTCCTACGATTTGAGAGTGTTTGAAACCTTTGTGCATCTTACCACTTCGCAAAAATGAGGACTTTGGAAAAGGTTAATCTAAGACTGAGAAGCTAAATGGAGATACGAGAAAAGTGCACTGCATTACACTTTGTTTACGCTCCAAATGCTATCAAAACTTTCCAAAGTCTAATATGAAGATTTTGAAAAATTGCCAAAATTGGCCTGGTAAAAACCATGGGTTTGGAACTTCGGCAATTATCTCAGAAACTACCGAAGCAAATGGCCCCAAACATGACTGCTGGAAAGAGGAAGAAAAACTGCGTCTGATATTGCTTAGAGCATTCGCCTGCCTTTATTCCAAGTGCTTTTATGACCGGTTGAAAAAACGGAGGGAACTTTTGAACCGACCTAATAGTGCGTATGAAGTTATACATTTCTTTCAGTGCATGCACATGTGGATAGATTGCAGGCGCGTTGGTGCTTTTTCTTCAGCTTCCTCATGTTTGAGTGTATCACGTTTCTGGAATGTGCTTGCTGAATTCGATATTTGCGAAGACTTAGAGTTCCTTCATATCACGCCGCAGGACGCAGCTTGCGCCGCAGGGATCGCTCTGGAAATATGCGTTCACTGCAACGCCTTTTCGCTGGTTATGTATGTATGAACGTGAACGTGCAGGAGATATAGAGATATATACATAACCAGCGAAAAGGCGTTGCAGTGAACATATGTTTTTAGAGCGATTCCTGCGACGTACGCCGCGCACGCTGCGTCCTGCGGCGTGGTATCAAGAAACCCTTAAGCAAAGGGTTTCAAGCAAAGCCCACGCACAACTGCAGTCTACTCAACTGTAGTCTTCAGGTTATGGCGTCTTATATCGTCGAGATGTGCAGCGGAGGTATTGCTGTGCTTACGGCGGAGGTATTGCTGTGCTTCATAGGTTTATTTGGAAACCTAGCTCTTCTGGCTACTACGGCCAACAGCAAGCTGCTGCACCGTAAAGTTTGTAAGTCAGGCACGCTTCACCTTGTCCAAGATCAAAAACATGCTATCTGAGGTTATCTTGTGGCTGTCCTTACCTCATTACACGTGGTATGCTTACTTTGCGAACTCTATTTGCGAGTTTCTGGATTACGGTAAGCATAGTGTTTGGCTACCAGTCTTTTTACTCCTCATTGTTCTGTGCGATATAGTTTATAATAGTTTCAACTATTTGCAAAACTTGAATAATGTACAGGATTTCTACTCAAAATTTCTACTTTAATGGGTTTCATTGATTTTATTGGAAAAAAGGCAGTTGTTTTGTAGAGCATAATAGCGGCTTATAAAAAAATGCATGCATAGATAAAAGTTAATAGGATCACACATGTCCCCATGGTTTGGGGCAAGTTTACTAAAAATCTGAAAACCCTGCAGGGCACATTCGAAGAATCATTTAGTACAAGTTACTGCTTAGGCTTCATAGCCGAGCCTTTTGCCAACCAAGCTAGGAGATTGATCTCGCTATTGTGTATAACACTTTTCGATCACACGCTTCTTAGAACGCTTACAGCACGTATTCTACATACTAAACGCATAATTCATAAAACTTATGCTATGAACTTTGTGCTTTTGGAGGGCTTGCTTGGAACTGCCGAAGGTCGGCACGCGCCATACATCCGCCTAGTCACTTGATCCGCTTGATCCGCTTCGTCATTGGTCGATTCAGTGAACTGAGCAATAGCGAAGCGGTTGTTCGCTTGATCCGCTTGATCCACTTCATCCACTTCACTATTGGTCAGTTCACTGGATTGACCAATGATGAAGCGGATCAAGCTGATCAAGTGGATTAAGCGGATCAAGTATGGCACTTGCCTCTTGTGTTCAGACTTTGCTACCTCTGAGATGCTCAGAACAGATTCACCGAAATGGCATTGTGAACATCACTCCATCTTTCTAGCAACGTTATTTCTACGTAAAACTATCGAGATAGAAGGAACGGTTTCTTGAATCTGACAGGGCTTAGTTCACAACTCCACTGCTAAACTTGAAAACTGCGGCTAAAAATTATTATTCTACACTTCCAGGTATCATGCAATGTCTCGTTCATCGTGCTTTTTACATACATTTGCCTATCTCTTCGCCATATACGCTCAATCAATGATGTTCTTCATGCTTTCACTGGACGTTCTATTTGCTCTTTGCATTCCCATGAGGTGACTTTCACTCCTTTCTATAAAC